CGTTGACCAGCCGTTGACCGGAGAAATTATCCGGTGCATCTCAGCACACCAGATTCTGCAGATCTGAGAGTGAAGTGCAGGTTCATTTGGACAAGCATATCCTTAACTTCGCATCTCCACATGCCGAAGTTGCTGCTTCCATCGAACTTCTCTACCTCGAACTTGGCATGGGACACCGGGGTCCAATGCCTAGAAGTGCTTGTACTGGCTGAATTACTTACGGACTCGGTTGCTCTAGATTCTGCCATTTTTTCGAAACTTCAATTCAAAAAACTGACCGTACAGATGTGTCCGGAATACTCCAAATAGTTGGGAAGCACTATTGGATCGTCAAAAACGAACTCCGAATGGCTCCGATCTGGCAAAAACACTTTGGACGGGTCAGATCTGCAGAATCTGGTGCGCTGAGATGCACCGGATAATTTCTCCGGTCAACGGCTCGGTCAACGGCGCAGGCGGCGCGGTCAATGGAGGATCGGCGGCGCGGTCAACGCGGCTCCGGCTCAACGGCTCGGCTTCGATCGGCTGATGACGTCGGCTGGCGTGGGCGCGTGCGGCGCGTGTCTGCGCGTGAACGCACGCGTCGTCTACCTCTGAAAGCGCGTGTGGCGCGTACGTGAGACTGGGCCGACGCGCCGACTCTCTTCACGACGCGTGGGGGAGCGTGCAGCGACTGGGCCTCACGCGCAAACTTCCAGAGGCGCGTGAGAGCGCGTCCGGCCTCCGTTGGGCTCTGTTTTTGCTGTTCTGGACTCCTCTCGGGGAGTTCTTCCTCCTGGTATGGTCAAAAGTGGATTTTGAGCACTTCGAAATCTGGGCACTTTCGGGAAAAATTCGATTTTTCGCAACCTGAGCTCTGATACCAATTGTTGCGGATCGGGGGCACACCACGGAACTCAAACAAACAATAACACACAAGATTTAACGTGGTTCGGCAAGTCGCCTACGTCCACGGGCAGTGGATTCACTATATTGAACAAAATGGTAAGAATTACAACACACTCTGTAATTCTCTCTCTCTTTGCTCTCTAAGCCTCTCAGCTGTATTTATCAACTCTCCTTAGCTTCTCTATATATAGAGATTACAAAGGCAAGAAGAACCCTTTGAAATGAGCTGGCTGCCAGCCCATTGTTGTGCTTTCGGTGGCTTTACAGATTGAAGCTTCACATGGCTTCTCTCATGGCCAACTCACATGGCCTCATGGCTTCCCCACCATGTAGCTGCCAGAATCTGTAGCCAATATTCAACATGAACATCAACTTATATTCCTTTCTTGATTTCTCAACAACCAAACATAAAATATCAAACATATCACCAAACCATATGTTAGTCTCTAAATTAAAATTCAACTACACGGAAAAAAAAAAAAAAAAAAAAATGCTCGTCACATTCAAAGAGTCTTAATCAAAAGATATTTCAATAACAAACAAATACCATGCTCTGACTCATTAGTATGTAATATCTTGATTGTATATCATAAACTGATAGAGATTTCAAAAGTATCATTTCCAATTTATAAGGCTAGTGTCATAAGCATTGTTTGTAGCATTCAAATATTCAATGAACAGATTGTAATTGGAGTTATATCTACCTATATAACAAACCAACTCAACTTATCGCATCTTCTTTTCAATGGCTTCGTTGAAATGGCATTCAAAATCTAGCAGAGAGCTCACAAGCTTCAAATCGATGCAAGCTTGCACGACCTACATAGAATAGGCCAAACTCTCAAATAGATTACCAATTGTAGTATCTGTAGCAATCACACATAAATCTTAGTATACAAAGCCGCCCAAAATTCACTTTCAATATTCAAGAGTTAACAGAGATTAAACTAAATCAACTTGCTACAAAAATTTAAAAATAATTACTCCAAGAGAGACACAGTTTACATTAATGTCGTAAAAACAAGATGATGAATGGTTACCTTGCATGGTTCATAGTTGAGCTCAACATTGTTTAATTTGCTTCCATTCAACATTGGTCTCTTGACTCTCACTAAGTTATGTTTAACGATTTGCCCCAACAGTGTAATGTCTTGAAAGTTCACTTCCTCATTTTTTATATTAGTGTGGGATTAACACAAAGTGAAAGAAACAATAATAATTTTCATCACCAATTTAGCGCTATGAAAGGTCAGTGTCCCATATTTCAGATTATGCAAACTTGATCACAAATAGATTACTAGTATATAGAAGTAGCACAGGTAAACATCTCAAAATGAACAATTATGCATCTTATCTTCCTGATTTCTCAATTTGTTTTATATAATTCATAGTCAATCATAAGAAATTAAGCAAAAATAGAGGGTAGCACTCAAGATAAGATGGCAAGGCAAACCTACATGTTTTATGTAACTTATTCAATACTGTTTTAAATATGAAGGAAAACCATGTTGATCTATCCTACTTGTTCTGTAGCTTTGCTCTTAAAAGGCCCATATGAAGCTGAGACGATCTTATAAGATTCAGCAATGTGAGCTTCAAGATCAGCAATAGAAGGCAAAAACACCATATGATCATTTTCTCGATGCTTTATAGGACAAGGCTGGCCCTGATTTGATAAGCGAAGGATATGCAGGAGAACATGAGCCAGTAATACAAGATAAATTCATCTTAAACACAATTAGACCAAATTCCTGGCAGAATAACACCAAGAAACCAAAATCTCACATGGAAAGCTGCTTTCAATTAATCAAAATACTTACTTAATATGTTATTAGTTAAAATTGATCACAACTTGTATGTTTCTAATGTCGCAACACTATTCCAGGCTAATAACCATGCAAACATCATTTACCTGAAAAGGCATTGCAGGTATATCCGGTAGTCAGGGTGAATTCCTTCCTCATGGAAACGGAGAAGAGGATTATGAAGCAAAGCAAAAACTAAGCAAGGTAAAGGCTGCAGTTGTGGGCATTGCGAGAATGTGACATCAATGTGAGAAGTTGTTGAATTTCCATGCTCATACTAAACAACTTTACAAGCATCATTATACTGAGCTGCGAGGCTTACAAGCCAATCATGTAACAACATCCTGCCTTCCCAAACTCCTTTCTCCAACGATGCTGATACGACCTGGACAGTGAATGTTATGGTGAAGCAACAAGTTATTAGAATATATAGAAGCATCACAAGCTAAGATTCTAAGCATTTGTTCTTGATAAACATTCATGCTTTCCAAAAAACTAAACTACTCTCTTATAATTTTGTCAGAGAAAGTTCAATCAAACCAAGGAACAAATGAAATAATAAAACCTGTAATCACTCAACCAAAAACTCAATTAATCCATTGTAAAAAGACCACCTTCCATAGAATTGACAAATCAGATAATCAATTGTTAAATAATGAACTTAATATTCTACACAAATTTTTTGATAAACATTTATGCTTTCCAACGAATAAACCTCTCATTTTGTCAGAGAAAATTCTCTCAAACCATGGAACAAATAACATAATAAACTTGTAATCAGTTAACTAAAACCTCAGCTAATCCAGTGCAAAAAGGTAGCCTTCCATGAACTGATTGAGGAATCAGATAAGGCTATATGCAAAGAACCTGTTTGCATAGCGTCTTTTACAGTTTACACTTGTCACGTCAGAAGTTGAGATTAAGTTGATGTTTTTCAGTCTTCAATTATCAGAAAAAGCGTTTCACTTTACACTCGCCACGACCACTCTCTCTAACGGCTATGTTGGCCTCTGGAGCTTCCCTACCAAAAGCATCTGAAATCTCATCGG